ATTAACAATTTTCCTCCAATCTTTCACTATTAAGCATTCATCGCTTCTAGAAATCATGAATGCATCCATGTGCAATGCAGGATATCTTGGCCGTAAGCTAATAATTGACATCTGACCTTTAGTCTCGATCCCCTGAGGCACAACTGTCATCGGGAGTCCCTGTTGAAGAACATCGTATAGTACTTAATTAATATATTCAGCAATGAAAATTTTAAAAAAATATGTATGCAAAATATGCACTGAGGACAAATAGTAAATATCTTACCATCATTCCTAAATAGATGTGACCGTAGTTCAATACCATCACTATTGGTCGCACGTTTTGAGTACTAACATTTCCAAGTGCAGGAAAAAAATTTGTCTTGACAGTATGAAGATCCTCAAGCCATGAAACATAATGACTTATCTCCTCGCAGTTTAGTTCAGCTCCGGGACAGTAGAAGGTCCTGTCTACCAAGCGCTGGACATGTTTGGTTGAATGGAGATAAGCTGTCAATAGAAATTAGTTGTCAGTTATTTTTGAAATAAGCAATATCAAAGACAAAAATATATTTGAGAAGAACTCACATAATGGTAGAACTGGAGGCATCTGCACATCGACCCATATGTCTCTATTACCTTCAATATCATCTTCCGGACGAATATCAAAGGTGATAACCATACCAGGCTCAAATGCATAAGCCTTGCATAGTGCTTACCAAGTTTTGCATTCAAAATAGGTGTACGTGTGTGCATTGTATACTTTGACGTTGAAAGTATAACCATCATGCTCGGTTTTCAGGTAAGCTCTCTTTACCTCCATAGTTTCCATATCTTTGAAACCTATTTTATCCAAGACAAAAATTCTTGCATGGCATGGGATGCGCTAGTAGAATAGTGAAAATTAAAAATTATAAGTCAGGCAAATGAAGCATATAATTCATGCTTAATTACTAAAACGAACTTGTAGTTGTGACTTACTGTATCGAATTCGAAAGTCTCATCCAGCTTGATGCTGAATCGCCTACCATGAACAAGGAAATTTCTGTCGCACTGGCCGCGCTCGTCTTCACAGTATGTGCACATATCGAAAAATTTTCCGTCGTCAGACGACATTTCCTATGTTCATATTAGGCGAAACATTAAACACTTACTAATTCAATTAATTCAACTACTTATATTAATTCAACTAAGCATCTACTAAAAATAAACTAGTTATATTAATTCAGTTAGTTCAACTAAGCATTTACTAAAAATAAACTAGTTATATTAATTCAATTAGTTCAACTAAGCATTTACTAAAAATAAACTAGTTCTGTATATTAATTCAACTAGTTCAACTAAGCATTTACTAAAAATAAACTAGTTCTATATATTAATTCAACTAGTTCAACTAAGCATTTACTAAAAATAAACTAGTTCGAATATATATCTAACTATAATATTTTAATTAGATAATCAAATCTCAGATACAATAATTTTCTTACTAAAAATAAACTAGTTATATTAATTATTCAACTAGTTCAAATCTCATATACCTAAATAAACTAGTTCGACAATTTTCTTACTAAAAATAAACTAGTTATATTAATTATTCAACTAGTTCAAATCTCACATACCTAGCTAATTAATATCTAATTAAATTTTCTAAAAAACAGAAAACAGAAAATAAGTAAAAAATGTGTGTGTGTGTGTGTGTATGTGTGTAGTGTGTGTATATGTGTGTATGTGTGTGTACGCCGCCCCGTACGTACGAGCGGGGGCGCCGACGTACGGGGCGAGGGCGGCGGCATACGGGGCGGGGGCGCCGGCGCGCGGGTGCGAGAGACGACGTACGGGACCGCGGCGACGACGACGGACGGCGGCGGCGTTCGGGGCGGCGGCGCGAGACGACGACGACAACGGGCGGCGGCGGGGACAGCGACGACGATGACGGACGACGGGCGACGAGCGGCGACGACGGGATCGAGCGGCGCGTGGCGATGTCGAGAGGTTGGAGACGAAAGTGGGGAAATGTAACTGAAATTTTCGTAAGTGCTATATATATAGGATGGGCCTTTAGTACCGGTTGGAGCCACCAACCGGTACTAAAGGCCAACTTTGGCCAGGCCAAGAGGCGGGAAGAGCAGGCCTTTAGTACCGGTTGGTGGCTCCAACCGGTACTAAAGGGTGATCTTTAGTACCGGTTGGTGGCTACAACCGGTACTAAAGGCCTCGCGCTGCCACCCCAAAGTTTAGTCCCACCTCGCCGGGCGAAGGGCAGCCGCACTGGTTTATAAACCCAGCCGCGGCTACATCTTTGAACTCCTCTATATAGCAGGCTTGTGGGCCTAAATTCTGCGCGCTGCCCTGTGAGTCTGCTGGGCCGTTAAGGCCTGTAATTGCACGCCCGTGGCCTAGCAGGCCCACAGGGCAGCGCCCCAATTTTTTTATAGTTTTTTTCTTTTCTGCTTTATTTTCTTCTATTTATTTCTGCGTAGTTTTTTGTATAGTTTTTTCTTTTCTGTTATATTTATTTTCTTCTATTTATTTCTGAGTAGTTTTTCATCTAGTTTGCCAAAATTCAACATTTTCAGAGTTCATTTTGTAGTGATTTTCAATTTCACGGTCATTTTATATAGTTTTTTCTTTTCAGCTATATTTTTTTTCCTGGTATTTTTTCTTTTCTGCAAAACTTGATGGTCAAAGTCTGGAGTTATAAACAAAGTTTAAAAAAAAGAAATGCCGACATGCAATTAGCTTTTGCCATAACAGAAGAAGTCCGGAGTTGTAATAAGTTATTAAAAATAAAAAAGAGGTGCAATGCTCGTTAATTTGCTTCAAGCCTTTCGGAATAGTGTAAACTGCACTGCGCATAGCTCCGTGCAGTCTATCATATTCCTGAAGGCTTGAAGCTAAGCAACGTGAGCATTGAGCCTCTTCTTCATCGTCTCTGTACCCAGGGCTTATAAACCGCTCCTAGTCCCTCTCTCTTCGCGAGGTGGGACTAAAAAACAGCTTACTAAGAAACTGTAGTACTGGTTCATCCATGAACCGGTACTAAAGGTGCTCGTGCGGCCCCAGCTAGCCTTACCTGACACAACCTCATTAGTACCAGTTTGTGGCACGAACCGGTGCTAAAGGTTCGCCACGAACCGGTACTAAACAGCTCCTCCCGCCTAGCAGTTGGTGCATACTGAACGTAAAAAATATAAGAGCATTTAAATCATGATCTTATATTTCTTTACAGTCTAAATTGTCAATATGATCTTATAACATCAAAAATACTTTGATCATCAATGATCTTTGTGTGTACAATCTGAATTGTCAATATGAGTCATCAATGATTTATAGACCGATGAAGACTCATATTGCGGCCACAAATTCTACACATAGAGTTCAATGAAGACCAAGTGCTTGTGATAGTTTGAGAAATAACATATTTAAGGTGGTAAAAGGCTTGTTATAGGAGCGATGTGGGACTAAAAACAGCTTGCCATAACCTCATTAGTACCGGTTCGTGGTACGAACCGGCACTAAATTGTGATGGTGGGCCCATAGCCTGACCGCAGGCTGACACAGCATCTTTAGTACAGGTTCGTGGCATGAACCGGTACTAAAGGTTCGCCACGAACCGGTGCTATTGATCGCCGCCACGAACCGGCACTAATGTACACATTAGTGCCGGCTGGAATTCAAACCGGCACTATTGTGCTTCACGTTTGACCCTTTTTCTACTAGTGCTGTGGTGTTCGGTATGAAACATAACGAAGCTACTTGCCTCGATGGTTTTCTCACCGAGTTGTACAATCATATTTTTTGACGTACAGATACATCCATTTGAGGGACAAGCTTTTTCTAACGGAGGGAGTACAAATTAACATTTTACACGTGGACACTTTAAAAACTTTTCTGCAAAAATCATACCTTAATTAAAATTCTAAATATACATCGTTGCATGATTCACAAATAAGGTCCTATTATATAGTATAAAATATTCATTCATAGAATAGACTAGGGCACCCTCCATCCCTCAACACAAACGCAGCATTATTCACCTGGATCGGACTAACTCAACGGCAACATATGCACGTGACAATCTGCTACCTACGTACCAACAATTCAGTTCATCAGTTGCATACTGAGGGCTGAGGCGTACGACGGTGCATGTGCATGTGCGAGCTGGTCGAGCTCCGCGACGAACGCCGCGGCGTGCTCCTCCCTGACGCACTGCGTCAGCAGCCGCTCGCCGTCGGCCGCCGTGGCCCTGCAGGAGAGGAACGCCATGCACCCCGGCACCGTCGACTGCTGCCACCGTCCGACCACCCTCGCCGGCGGGCCGCCGCCGAAGTCTGCGCGGTCGAAGCCGATGTTCCGCCAGCTGGTCACCATCAGCGCGTTGTACCCGAAGGCCGCTGCCATCTCTTCCTCTCCCATCTCCGGCACGGCACCTCCGCCGCCCCCCATGTTCCGCAGCAGCTCCAGGACCCGGTCCTTGGCGCGCTTGATCAGGTCCACCACATCGTTCATGCCGCCATCCCCGGCGCCGGCCACCTCCCCGGTCGTCGCCAAGGCCAGCTGCGCCACCGCGCAGTTTCCGTAGTACCCTGCCGCCGCGCCAACGTGCTTGCGCACGTTCACGAAGAAGGCCAGCGGCGCCGGCGTGGACATGTCGTAGTCCGGATCGCCGCCGATGAGCGCCCGGGTGCGGCACCTCCACAGGACAGCCACCGCCGCCTCGAACGTCGTGCAGTACCCACCGTCATCGGCGTGGGCGGCCTTGTACTCGGACTTGATGCGGTTGATGAGCTTGACCGGGACGGTGATGTCCAGGTAGACGAGGCCCATGCCGCCGCGGTCCAGCATCAGCCACTGCTTTGCGGCGACCACCGGCGGCGAGAGCAGCGGCAGGCACACCGCGCGGCCGTCCCTCACCGGTGCAACGGACGGCACCAAGACATCATCGGCTTCAGCGCGGGCGAGCTCGCCGACGGCCTGCAGGAACTGCGCCATGCCGTCGCCATCAGCCAGCGTATGGTTCCACGTGACCCCGACGGTGAACCCGCCGCAGGCGAACTCGGTGACCTGCATGAGCAGCAGCGGGTCGGTGCGCCGGCAGCCTTCCGCGGCAGCGTAGCACAAGGCGAGCCCATCAAGGAGACTCGTGGAGACGGGCGCGTCGAGGAGGCCGTGGTCCTGCAGGGCACAACCCGCCGACGCGGCCACGAAGGGCACACCCTCCCCGGTGCAGGCGACGTGGAGAACGCTGTCGTCGTCGTCGTCATCGGCCGCGGCAAGGCGGCCGGCGACGGTCTGGTAGTGGACGAGCGCCCGGGAGAGGCCCTTCTTGACGGCCTCCACGGGCTGGTGGACGGGGCCGTCGAAGATGAGGAGCGCCGCGACCTGGAAGCCCACGTAGCTCCTGTCCCAGGACGAGAGCTGCACCACTTGCGTCTTCCCCAGAGCCGGCTCCATGGACGGGCGGACCATTACCGGCGGGCACTTGCTCACCGCGAAGCTCATCTTCGATGCTAGCTAGCTAGCTAGTGCGTACGTACGTGGATCTAAAGTAGACGGAAAACACAAACACACACACTCTCTCTATCTCTGTCCTGTGTGCGTGTGTCTAGTACGTAGCTAGTGGATGTGGATCCTGTGGTTGCCTCGCCACATATAGAAGTGCAGTGCAGTATGGAAGGGACTAATGTGAGCATTAGTCCTAGTTCGAGCGGTTAAGGCGTCGGGAAGGCATTAGTCCCGGTTTAAATGAGACATTTAGTTCCGATTTGAGACACGAACCGGGACTAAAGGGCATTGATTTTATTTATTTTTGCCTGTTTTTTTCTGAATGTCATCTGGTGATGAAATTTTGCATGCTATCAAAATATTTATCAATGTTTCGCACTAAAAAGATTCAGAGTTTTATGAACTTTTTTTGGTTTTACTGTTCACACTAGCTCACATAAGCTCAGGATCAGAACAGCTGTGTCCACCAAAAAATCATTACTATAAAGGTAGTGTGCATTTATAGGTGTGAATACGTGGTCCACAAAAATGATTTTTACCCTTTTCAATTGATCAAATCTTATAACCCACTAAAAAATCTAATCTGACATGCTCATTGAGTCAAGCCTTATATTATATAGCCATCGAAACAGATTGTCCTTGGAAGCATCCCTGGCCAGCTCTACCTTTTCATCATCAGGTACATGATCTTCTTTTATCTGTTAACTTAAAATATAGCCTGAAGCATATACAAAACATTAAGACCCACATCAAGCCTCTGCATAGGAAAATGCACATAACCAAAAGAAGAAGTCAGACTAAAGTAATCAAAATAACCAATTGGCAAAATTAAAGTCATATAAGACCGATACTATACCTATGTCTATGGAGGAGGTGGACCAATCCGGAGATTATAGAGCCACCCATGTTGGATAAAAATCTCCCCGGTCATCCGCTCCCACAATATAGACATTGCCTTGAACTGCGGTTGGTACTCTGCCCGATGTAACATAGACGGTCTATACGAAGCCAATGCATGCAATGAAAAATAACCTGCAAGGCCGATGAGTTTTTGCTATTAAAGAAATATCATTTCTGCTTAGTCAAAGAGACCATATACTAAGGCAGACCCTCCCACACTTATTACTGCAGAGAATACATATTTGGTATTCAGGCCATTCACCATATATATTGGCAACACTTGTGCGTGGATACATATTTTACGCTATTTAAATGACTAACCAGATGTGACAAGCGGGGTTGTCTGTAATTACCACAACTCCACTCCGAAGGTTCCAGATGAAAATATTAGTTTATCATGGTATCTTCGGGTTGCATATTTGATTAGTATTATCTATTGAACCTCTGAGTGTCATAAGTGCATGATACATAGACTCGACCGTGAGTGACCAGATGTAGTTAGTTTCTAAGGGAACTTATCCCGACCTTGTGTCAAGTACATTATTCCAACTCTTGAAGAAATGTTTAATATGGAATTATAGCTAGATTCTTATATACTGCATTTTGTGCAACATATAACTTGAGATGCATGCAAACTGGATTTGGATCAAGTAGATGGTTATATGAAGCATTGTACATGTATGGTGCTTACATGATATGAACATGTATGGTAGGGACGTGAAACAATACTCACGAGTAGATGTCTATAATTAAGATTAGAACGAGCAACTTCAAGAAGGAGCTCAGTCGTCGTTTCATGGCGGATCCAACATGGTATACGGCGCTGAGGTGACAAAAGATCACAATGATGACGGTGAAGAAGCCGAAGACTGCTGTCTAGGGTGAGCATTCGTTTCTCTAGCGGAGGTGGCATTCGAGAGGATTAACTCATGGTGAGGGGAAATTTTGTACGAGTACTCATGGGACTAACTCCTTAATTATTTTGATTTATATGGATAGACAAAAATAACTTTCAAAACTTTCGAGGAGGGGTGGGGGAGGGGGGTCCCCAAGCATAGCGGGAATTTCGCAGGAGAAGTGTTGTTGATTGAAACCTCATGAAAAAGTTATTTGTGTTTTAAAATGGTACATACTTAACAAGCTTTCCCACAAATATAATAATCCTGTAAGAAGCAAATAACGCTTTTCGATCCTGTGTGTTTGAATCAAATTTCTGTATGAATAATTCCCGCCTGTCATCGATAAGGTTAGTCCGGCTCCACTACGAGAGCGGCCATAGCCGCGCATCGGTAGTGGTCGTTCGATGGTCTGAAGGATTAATTAAATGTATTTTTACATTATGTGTAGATCGTTTTATACTTGTAATGAACTTTTATAATAGATCTAGGTTCTTTTTCTTGCAAAAGCGACAATTCTATAGGAATCAAATTACGTCACCAAAATGCATGACCTTCCGGCGTCATTGGAGCGACGTCAGCCACAAAGACCGATCTCGACTCGAGTGGTGTGGAGCACGCACGGTTGTGCGGTTGTCTGGAGCGATCTCTCTCTCTCTCTCTCTCTCCCTCTGAGCTACAGCCATGTGATGTCGCCCTCTCTCAGTTAGTGATGCACGGGACCATCTTTTCTGTTTAAACCCCGACACAGAAATATTTTTCTCCGGAAAAGGACGGTGATATTCAGCACCCCACGTACGATGGGCACGCTACAAGACAACAATGGCCAGCAATGCATGGCTTGCAATGTGTGCCTGCAAAAAATGTATTGAAACATACAAACCTGCGTGTAAGACAATAGGCTTTGGGGGGAACCGGCACAATCCTCTAGGGGTGGCCTATCACATATATATATAATGAGGTGGTATACAACGTTACAATATACACATGTAAATACAGTCTAATACCCTCCCTCAATCTTAGCCACTCTCTAATGAATCTAGAAGGGTAAGATTACGCCTGCAAGTCTCAAACTGTGGCAAAGGCAATGGCTTGGTGAAGATGTCAGCAAGTTGATCCTTGAAAAAAATAAACTTGATCTGTAGTTGCTTCTGAGAGACACGTTCACGCACAAAGTGATAGTCAACTTCAATGTGTTTCGTTCGGGCATGGAATACCGGATTTGCAGAAAGGTATGTAGCACCGATGTTAGCACACCAAAGAACAGGAGGCTGTGATTGGGGTATACTTAACTCCTGAAGCAAGGACTGTACCCAGATGATCTCTGATGTGGCATTGGCCACAGCCTTATACTCAGCCTCAGTACTGCTACGCGAGACAGTAGCCTGTTTCCGAGCACTCCAGACAATCAGGTTAGAGCCAAAGAAGACAGCATAACCCCCCGTGGATCGCCTGTCATCCGGATTGCCAGCCCAGTCTGCATCAGAATATGCTGAAAGACAACCAGAGTCAGACGGCCGAATATGCAAACCATGAGCCACCGTGAAACGAATATAGCGCAAAATCCGCTTAACAGCAGACCAATGAGTGTCACGGGGTGACTGCAGATACTGGCAGACTCGGTTAACAGCATAGGAAATGTCTGGTCGCGTGATCGTCAAGTACTGGAGCCCACCAACAATACTCCTGTACTCTGTCGCATCAGAAGAAGAAAGAAGCACACCATCAACAGCATTGAGCTTATCAGTGGTAGACATGGGTGTAGTCGTCGGTTTGCACTTAAGCATCCCAGCTCGCTGCAACAAATCCAGAGAGTACTTCTTCTGCGTCATAACAAGGCCAGCAGCACGAGAAGTAACCTCCACACCAAGAAAGTAATGAAGCTTCCCAAGGTCCTTGACCGCAAAATCAGCACCAAGTGAGCGAACAAGCGCAGTAGCAGCCGACTGAGAGGAGCTGACCAAAATGATATCATCTACATAGACCAACAAGTACATAGTAACCTCAGGCCTTTGAAGAAGAAACAATGAGGAGTCAGCAGCTGATGATGCAAAACCATGAGCACGAAGAGCCATTGCAAGACGAGCATGCCAAGCACGAGGAGCCTACTTCAGACCATAAATTGCCTTGGACAGACGACAGAGATGATCAGGGTGATCCGGATCAGAGAAACCCGGAGGCTGGCGCATGTAAACCTCCTCCGCCAAGACACCATCAAGAAAAGCATTTTGAACATCAAGCTGACGAAGAAACCAACCTCGAGTAACAGCCAGAGAGAGAAGAAGTCTGATGGTAGTAGGCTTGACCACTGGACTGAAGGTGTCTTCATAGTCAAGTCCAAAACGCTGTCGAAAACCACGAGCAACCAGACGAGCCTTATAGCGCTCAATGGACCCATCAGAATGCCTCTTCACTTTGAAAACCCATTTGGAATCAATGACATTTACCCGTGATTGTGGAGGAACAAGAGTCCATGTCTGATTGCGAAGAAGCGCTTGATACTCCTGCTCCATGGCCTCTCTCCAATGAGGAATGCGCATAGCATCTTGATACGTGCGTGGCTCAGAGGATGGATCTGCGAGAGCAGCAGACATGCACGCCGCTAACCAAGCAACTGTGCCATCGTGACGTTGCTTAGGCTGAAAAATGCCACTCCGACTGCGCGTATGTGGACGTAGAGCAGCAGCAGGAGCCGGCTGAGGCGAAGGTGACGGAGACGTGACGGTCGCCGGAGATGCAGGAATCACCTCAGGAGAGCTCGGGACAGACGACTCCGGGCTGCATGGCGAAGACTGGCCCGACGACAGGGGCTCAGAGGCCATGGGCGAACCGAGAGTGGGCGAGGCCAGCTCCGGTGACACCGGCCAAGACGGACTTGGCGAGGCGAGAGCAGGCGAGGCCGGCCCTGGTGAGAAGGGCCCAGACACCCTGGGCGAGGCAGGGGCGGGCGAGGCCAGGCCTGGTGATGACTGCCCCGACGCCCTGGGCGAGACGGGGACCGAGGAGGCCGGCCCAGTCGGCGGGGTTGCAGGGCGCGACGATGGCGAAGGCAGCCCAGAAGCCAGAGGCGACCGGGCCAGGACGTCGATCGGCCGTGCATGAGCATGGAAACCGAGGCCATGCAGGGGCGCCATGTGCTCCTCAAGCACAACAGAAGGTGCCGAGGATGAAGGCGATGGCGACGAAGAGGAAGATGGCACT